ACTGGCTACAGAATCTCTTGTATGTGCCCAACAACCACTGGGAGAAGGCATAGCTGTGAAATGAGTAGGGCTGCAGCTGCTATCTCTTGTGCAGATGTGTGATCCAAGCATTTTACCAGAGGTAAAAATCTGCTTTTCTCACTGAGTTTGACTCTGGCTGGGAGGACTGATAGGGAGCTGGGCACCCATGGAGGACAGTGAAGCACCCCCAGCTTCTCAACATTTCTCAAGCTCTTAGGCTCAAACTGTCTAGGTGGATCACACATAGGCAGCTGGCTCTGGAAACATCTCAACCTCTCCATAGACAAGACATGCTAGAGTAGTGGAGTGGATCCTCTACAGCCCCTGACTCAGAGAATCTTGTGTGCTAAAGCTGTGGGATCCCTGTGATTGTTTGAGAGGGGACACGGTATAACTGGGTATCTGGGCAATCACTCTGTCAGCTTGACAAGCTCAGAGCTCCCTGATTGCCTGGGGTGGGTAATTGCAGCAGGATCTGTGCTCACACTGAGGACTGCACAGATTCTTTGTGCATTTCATGTAGAAGCATAGATGATGCTTTATAAGCACTGTGGCCTAACACCTGGCCATTGGTCTCCTTGGAAGGAAGGATATGAGGGTGTGATTATGCAGAGGTGATCATATCCCCCTTTTTGTTAACAAGAGCTGATCTACCGTGCCCAACTTGGTTGTCACCCTGGATATTCATACCATCCTGGAGCAAGGACCAGAGCCACAGGCCACACCCAGCACCTGCCTTTTCATATTCACTGAAACAGCGGGTGCTTCACTAAGCCAAAGAGATATAATTCAAAGGTAAAAGCCATCAGAGGAAAAAAAATCAAGTATCTCCACAAATACCTAAAAATAAATGAAGAAATTCAAGAGTAAGGAAGACAGCATGATTGCCCCAAAGGAATACAACAGCCCTTCAATTTTAGAATGTGAAGATGAAGAGATTGATGAAATGCCTGAAACAGAATTCAAAAGATTAATCATATGATTATTCAGAAGCAATGAGAAGCAAATTCACGAATGAAAGAAATCCATTCATGACATGAATAAAAATTATGCCTATGAAATTGGAGATTTTGAAGAGAAATCAAAATTAAATAGTAGAAATGAAGAATTCAATATGAAAAAAAAATACAGAGGAAAGCCTTAAAATGGACATTATGAGGAAGAAGAAACAATATCCAAGCTATAAGACAAATCTTTGGAAGTTTTTCAGACAAAAAGAAGAAATTAGAAAAATTAGAAATAGTGTTAGAGATTTATGGAGTACTAAAAACAACCCAACATATGGATCTTAGGAGTTCCTGAAGGTATGGAAGAAGAAAATGGGTTAGAAGGCCTATCTAGTGAAATAATTACAGAAAACTTCCCTATTTTGGAGAATGAAAGAGATGTTCAAGTATATGAGGCACAAGAACTCTTTATAGAAATGACCAGAAAAGATCTTCACCACATTGCATTGTAGTCAGACTTAGAACAGTAAAGCATAAAAGAATCTAAAATGTGCATAAGAGAAACACCAGATTACTTTCAGAGAATCTCTCAGCTGACTTCTCAACAGGAACTCTATAGGCTAGGAGAAAATGGCGAGACATAGTCTAACACTTAAGAGAAAAAAACTTTCAAACCAGAATATTGTAACCTATAAAGCTCTCACTCAAGAATGAACGTGAGATAAACACCTTCCATAACAAACAGAAATTGAAAGAATCCATTACCACTCATCTAGCCTCACAAAAGTTGCTACAGGATGTGTGACACACAGAAATACAGAAAGATAGTCATCATTATGAAAGAATGCCAAGGCAGAAAATCTCTTAGTCAAAGTACAAAGGAAGTCCAAAGTAAAAATTAGCAATATTTTTGGAAAAATATCAGGGCTAAATTGTTACTTATCCATAGTCACCATTTATGTAAAGGGTCTAAATACCCCAATTAAGATACAGACTGGCTAAATGAACTAAAAAAACAAGAACCATTTATTTGCTGCCTACAAGAAACACATTTCAACCACAAAGATGCATACATGCAGACCAAAGAGAAAGGATGGAAAAAGATACTCCGTGCTAAAGAAAAAAAAAAAAAACAGCTGGTGTAGCCATCCTAATATCAGACAAAATAGACTTTAACACAAACTGTTAAAGGAATCAAAGAAGGGCACTATGTAATGATTAAGGGCCAGTTCAGCAGGAAGATATGACTATAATAAACATATGTGCACCTAATTACAGAGTGCCTGGCTAATTAAAAGAAATGTTAATGGGTTCTAAAGGGAGACATATACTCCAATACAATAGTAATGGTGTACTTCAATACACCACTTTCATCATTGAATAGATAAATTAGAAAGAAAATCATCATAGAAATAGCAGAGCTAATCAACACCCTGAATCAAATGGACCTAACTGATATCAATAGAACTTTTCATCCCATAGTTGTAGAATATACATTCTTTTCATCAGTTCATGGAACTTTCTCTGGGATAGACCATATGCTAGGCCATCAAGCAAGTCTCAGAAAATTTGAAAATATCAAAATCATACTGTGCATCTTCCCTAACCACAATGGAATGAAGCAGGAAATTAAAAACTCAAGAATCTCTGGAAAATATGCAAACACATGGAGACTAAACAACATGCCATGAATGAACAGTAGATCATAAAATTAATTTGAGAAAACAAAACATTTCTGGATGCGAATGAAGATGACAATACAACCTTTCTCTGAAGGGAGGAGAGAACTTCCACTTTGACCATGGCCTTGTCTAAAAATGATCAGAGTCAGTGAACCCAGGGGGCTTCCATAGCCTTGGCAGCTCATGACAAGAGCCTAGGGTGATTACTGATGCCATAAACAAGAGTGTCAATTTGTTAAGTCAACAACAGGAGTCACTGTGCACTCACTCCTCATGTAGGA